TTTTTTGTATTTTTAGTAGAGACGGGGTTTCACCATGTTGACCAGGATGGTCTCGATCTTTTGACCTCGTGATCCACCCGCCTCTGCCTCCCAAAGTGCTGGGATTACAGGCTTGAGCCACCGCGCCCGGCCAATAGCACAAATTCTAAGACCCATGATATGTAAAAACAAAATCTTATAAGTTGTGGCACAATCTGGTAGCATTCACAGTCCACAAATGCTCTAGGATTGTTACACTTCTAAAATTACCCTACATGAATCCAGGCCTTAAAGAAAGAAATCTGTAGTACCAAAGGCCAGCCAAAAACTTCTTAAGCTGAGGACATCCGTCTTACAGGTTGAAATAAAGGACAGAACTCCTTGTTGAAAACGGCAGATTAGTGAGAAGTAGTAATGCTCAGGAACCCCTCAAAGGCTGAAGAATCAGAGGCACCAGCTAACTCTAAAGGGCAGCGGAAGGGTTGGGGTCAGTGTGAAGCGATGGACTGGTTAAGACTTCGCCTAAGGAGCAGGAGATGCCTAGTTTTTCTTCTCCAGTCTCAAGAACCAGTCAAACACATCATCACCCTTGCAAAAGATAGACAGTTCTCTGCCTGGAGAAGGGAAGACAGACATCAGAGATGAGAACTGACTGTGAAAATGCATGAAGGCCACTAAACATTGAGATTCCAGGCATAAGGGCCTGGCTGTTTTTATTTTTTGGTCAGCTTTCTAGTAGGGCTAAATACATTAAAATTACAGAAGAATTACAGAAAAACTAGGAGTTATGGTCTGTTTAAATGACTGTGAGAATTTACAAAGCAGGAACAAACAGGATTTTCAAAATACCAGGTAAAGGCCAAAGAGATTAACCCAAAGATGACAAACTAACCGGGTTGAGAGCTCCAGGCTGAGCCAACTGTCCATGGTGCTGAAGAGGAGGGGTTTGCCGGGGTACAATGGGGGGCTGGGCCATGCTCATCTGGCCAAATTGATTCAAACCTGTGAATATGCACAAAACATTAGATCTGAATGCCTTTGTGAAATTGAAGAATAAAATAATTCTTTTTTTTTTTTTTTGAGACGGAGTTTCACTCATGTTACCCAGGCTGGAGTGCAATGGCGCGATCTCGGTTCACCGCAACCTCCGCCTCCTGGGTTCAGGCAATTCTCCTGCCTCAGCCTCCTGAGTAGCTGGGATTACAGGCATGCACCACCATGCCCAGCTAATGTTTTGTATTTTTGGTAGAGACGGGGTTTCACCATGTTGACCAGGATGGTCTCGATCTCTTGACCTCGTGATCCACCCGCCTCGGCCTCCCAAAGTGCTGGGATTACAGGCTTGAGCCACCGCGTCCGGCCAGAATAAAATAATTCTTAATGCCTGATTCTATAACATTTTATCAAGGCTAATAAACCTGCTTTCAATCTTCCATGTATAAATAAATCTGTCTCATTTGCAGCAGTTGTGTACAGGCATTAACTAACAGGATCTCCTAACTAAATTTTACAGTCTACAAATGTACCTTTTTTTTTTTTTTTTTTTTTTTTTTTTTGAGGCAGAGTCTCACTCTGTTGCTCAGGCTGGAGTGCACTGGCATGATCTCAGTTCATTGCAATCTCCACCTCCTGGGTTCAAGAGATTCTCCTGCCTCAACCTCCCAAGTAGATGGGATTACAGGCCTGAGCCACCATACTTGGCTAGCCAATTCTTGTATTTTTAGTAGAGACAGGGTTTTGCCACATTGGCTAGGCTGGTCTTGAACTTTGACCTCAGGTGATACACCAGCCTCAGCCTCCCAAAGTGCTGGGATTACAGGTGTAAGCCGCCTTGCCCAACCTGCACTTGCTTTTTAATGGATGCTTCATCATTCAATGTCACCTGCCCGGTGATCTGCCAGCCAACCTGCTCTTCACCCCCTCTTCCTCTAAGGGCTCCAACTCCAAGGGGTTTTTTGAGTTTCTCAAGCAGGTTATCATGACACTTGCTGTTGACATAAACTGGGTATCCAGATAGCAGGTATTATCTTGCAATAACCAGGAATTCTTTTAAAATAATTTTTTTTCACTATTTACCAGACTGTGGAGTTATCCGAGGGATCATCTGGTTTGGCACACTGCCACGGATCATAGCTGGATCAGGCAGAGGACCATCTAGAGTAAAAAAGAGAAATTAAGAAGTATCTTTGCACCAACTGCCCTTAAACAACCAAACAAAAACTCACTGTTCACACAAATCCCACAAAATATATTTAATAATACCTTTAAAAATTGGGTGTGAATCACAAAATAAAGCTCTGAACTAGACAGAAACTTGAAGAAAATGTTATTTCTGGAATACAGAAAAATGTGTCCCAGTGGATTTGTTGGTATTCCTTTATGAGTCTGGGTGCTTTTGATGTTGATAGAAAAATAATGTAAAACATTTTTAAAAACTGAAGCTATTATAGGCCAGGCATAGTGGCTTACACCTGTAATCCTGGCACTTTGGGAGGCTGAGGTGGCTGCATCACTTGAGGTCAGGAGTTCAAAACCAGCCCGGCCAACATGGTGAAATCCTGTCTCTACTAAAAACACAAAAATATTAGCCAAGTGTGGTGGCGGGCACCTGTAATCCCAGCTACTCAGGAGGCTGAGGCAGCAGAATCACTTGAACCCAGGAGGCGGACGTTGCAGTGGCACGAGATCAGCCCACTGCAACCTTGCAAGCGAGCCAGAGCAACAGAGCGACGCCCAAAAAAAAAAAAAAAAAAAAAAAAAAGCTATTATACCATTTAATATGCTGTTGTTTAACAAAGTGAGTCTGGCATGCAACAGAGTGTCTCCATGAATAATAGCTATGAATCATGTCTAATGGTGGCCAAATTTGATTATGTAGCATAGTAATGTTTTTATGTACACAAACTCACTGTGAACATTGATTTTAAATAATATGCATATTATAACACACTATATATTTCGTACCTCTAAAATACAAAAATAGAAGTAATTCTTTTTTGTTTTGTTTCTCAAGTGATGTTCCTGACTTAACCTCCCGAATAGCTGGGACTACAGGCACATGCTCCCATGCCTGGCTAATTTTTGTATTTTTTGTAGAGATGGAGTTTCACGATATTGCCAAGGCTGGTCCTGAAGTCCTGAGCTCAAGTGATCCACAGCCTCAACCTCCCAAAGTGCTGGGATTATAGGCGTGAGTCACCATGCCCGACCCCTTTTATGCTTCTATTATTTTTTTTTTTTTTTGTTTTTTTTGGGGATGGAGTTTCGCTCTTGTTACCCAGGCTGGAGTGCAATGGCGCGATCTCGGCTCACCGCAACCTCCGCCTCCTGGGTTCAGGCAATTCTCCTGCCTCAGCCTCCTGAGTAGCTGGGATTACAGGCACGCGCCACCATGCGCAGCTAATTTTTTGTTTTTTTTTTTTTAGTAGAGACGGGGTTTCACCATGTTGACCAGGATGGTCTCGATCTCTTGACCTCGTGATCCACCCGCCTCGGCCTCCCAAAGTGCTGGGATTACAGGCTTGAGCCACCGCGCCCGGCCGCTTCTATTATTTTCTATGTATTAGGTTAAGTTAAGAATCTCATTTTACAAAATGTCAGATTTAGTACAAGCTAAAGGTCAACAATTAAGGCTGATATTCAGTTCTATTACCTTTTATTCCTGCTTTCATTGGTACCATACTGTTTTTACTCTGACATTAGAATACAATTTAATATCTCACAGACTTTAGACTTGGCTCAAATTTCACCCAGAACTTGAGTTAAAACCAAGTATCTCACGTATGTCTACTTGTTTTTGTATCTTTAGTTACTACTCAAACTCAAATCATGTTCTGAAGCAGTCAGTCTCAACTGTAATCTTGACTTTCTCATTCCTGAAAATGTGTTCTCCTAGCTACTCAAAAAATCTGTTTTTCCTTACTATTGGGCCTCCATGTATACTATTTCCTCTGCCAGAAATGTTGCTTTTCCCAACTTTTTACACATCTTGGCCCAATTACAAAACAATATCTGGCACACTTTAGTTAGTAATGAAATTAATAAATGGGGCTGCTAATGGACATTGGAAATCATTTATTACTTCAATAAATGAAGGAGATGAACTTCTCAGTCTACCTATAATCTACTGATGGTAGGAGGGTTACTACCTGCTGGCTCAGTTGGCACTTGTAGGTCATTAGCACTTCCTAACTCAGCAAAGGCAGGTTTTTCTTATCAAAGCAACAGCATTTAAACAGCCTGTATCATTCCTGAAAATGGTGTGCCTGCTCGGTATTTCACTACTTTGATTCTACCAGTAAGTCAATGATTCAATAAGACAATGTATCACAGTCTTGGTTATCTGGTTAATTAATCAGGTCAACAATGATGATATAACCAGAAACTGAAGCTGCCAAAACGTAATTTTAAATGATGCTTCTAGGCCGGGTGGTGGCGGCTCACGCCTGTCATCTTAGTACTTTGGGAGGCCAAGGTAGGGGGGTGGGGGGTGGGGGTGGGGGGAGGAGGATCACTTGAGGCCAGGAGTTCCAGACCAGCCTGGCCAACATGTTGAAACCAGTTTCTATGAAAAATACAAAAATTAGCCAGCCATGGTGGCGTGTGCCTGTAATCCCAAATGGCCTACCCGGAAGGCCAAGGTGGGAGAACTGCTTGAACCTGGGAGGCAGAGGCTGCAGTGATACAAGATCCCGCCACTTCACTCCAGTCTGGGACACAAAGTGCATCTCTGTCTCCAAAAAAAAAGAGCTCCTAGCCTTAGAATATTTATGTCAATTAGAAAGTGTGACAGTGTAACATGATATTATGTGTGCTACAGAGTGTTGGTCTCTATGGGGGTCCTGAACCTGGTCAACCTACAAACATCTAGTGGCTACTTACAACACAAGCCAGTCTCAGAGAAATCTGGGAACATCTGTAGGCTATCACTTTCTAGGTGTCACCATTAGAGAACTTTACTTTGGGCTCTAAATCAATGCCAGATTATCAAGGTATGTTAAGAACCATGCCCAGACATCTTAAATATACTGTTCTGCTTCTGTTTTTTACTATAAGTTATTTTCTTTGCAAAGGCAAATCGTTATTTAAAAACTCTAGAATAGTTACACAAGCTTACAGAAATTAATGACTTTGGATAGAAACTATTTGTTTATCAATTTCTCTCAAATGTAAGTATAACAAAAAATACTTACTAGAAGTCATTCCTGGTTGCGGCTGTCCCATGTTAGGCCCTGGATTCATGGAAACTGGAACCATGCCTGCAGCATTTGGTAGCATGTTCTGTTTCTGTAGTCTAGTCCTTCGTTTTTCTTCTAGTTCTTTTTGGATCTTATAGATTTTCTCAGCTAGAAGGTGGTAGTATTCCGCCTTTTGAATTGTTGAAATAAAATAAGGGAGATGAGGAAAAAGGAACTACCACCAGATAACATGAAAAATAAACTGAGAACAGATATTAGTTTCATTTTTTATGCTGCATTAAGAAGTGGTACCAATTTAGAAAAAGTTCAACTTATGTAGAGAAACTAAACTACCATGAACAATACTAAGTTACTTTTCATATATTCTAGTGAAAAGAGAACAGAGATGGTACAGCTCAGCACCACCACCACCCCTTTTTTGGGGAGAGACAAGGTATCTCTCTGTTGCCAGTGGCACAATCATGGATCACTGTAGCTTGACTTCCAAGGCTCAGGTGATTCCCCCACCTCAGCCTTTTGACTAGCTGTGACTACAGGCACGTGCCATCATGCCCGGCTAATTTCTTGTATTTTTTTGTAGAGATGGAGTTTTGTCATGTCGCCTGCACTGGTCTCCAACTCCTAGGCTCAATGATCCACCCACCTGAGACTTTGAAACTGCTGGGATTACAGGCACCAAGCCACAGTGCTCGGCCAACTCAACACTTTTTAGGTTGATAAGACAACCAAATGAAGTGCCACATGAGAGCAAATGAAGTGCCACATGAGTGCACTGTATTAGGAGGAAAAAATTAATATTATTGATGACATGCATTTAAGAAATTGCTTTGTTATCCTAACTGTGCTTGATGACAATAAGATGGGATAGCTAGAGTGTGTACCCCGACTGAAGGACATGTACTATTTGCACATGCTAAAGAGGAATAAGCTGGCCTGGCACCGTGGCTCTCGCCTGTAATCCCAGCACTTTGGAAAGCTGAGGTGTGCGGATCACCTGAGGTCGGGAGTTCAAGACCAGCCTGTCCACATGAAGAAACCCTGTTTCTACTAAAAATACAAAAAAAAAATTAGTTGGGCGTGGTGGCGCATGCCTGTAATCCTAACTACTTGGGAGGCGGAGGTTGTGGTGAGCCGAGATTGCGCCATTGCACTCCAGCCTGGGCAAGAAGACCGAAGCTCCGTCTCAAAACAAAAACAAACAAACAGGAACAAATAACCACAACAGGCCCAATCTTGGCTATTAATACAAAAAAACAAAAAAACACCAGATGCTCACTCGATTGTTTGCAGATTCATACATGTCCCCTTCAACTTTCCGAGCATATGCAACTAGGTTTTCCATCCGTCTGTCTTTTAAAGCAGCAGGATCCGGTGTAGGAAATATGGCTTGGACGCTGGAAAAAGAAAATCCCACCACTGTAATATCATGTCAGCTTTTAATTCAGTTTTTTCCCCCTGATTTTTATACACTGAACACACAGAGGAAAAGAAAAAATAATGGCAAGGTGAGACATATTCAAATATAATACTTAGTGAAATCAAATTGTCCTTTAGTGACAAAATAATTTCTCTCTATATTTCCGATCACAATACAGAAAATGACTCCACAAAAAATACTCTTTGGTCCCTGTTACTCTAGACGTAAAGCAAAATATTACTTTGAGCTACATACTAAAGAAAGTGAGGAAAACGAACCTTGTCGTAGTATCAAGTAGCAAAAGACTTCAGAGTTCCTTCTACTCTTCTAAGTTTTTCATCTTATTGAAATAAAACTTAATAACCAACCATTCTAAAATGTTAAAACATCAAAAACTCGAAGTGTTCTGGCAAAGGCTTATAAAAAAACAAACAAAAAACCAAAAACCTGAAGTGGAGGGAGCAGAAATGCATAATGATTCTGCTAG